GAAGATTCATCTTCATAAGAATAGGAAAAATATAAGTGCCTCTAACTTGAGTCCAATGGGGACAGCGAAACATCAGATGGTCTAAGGTTTCAATTTTGCCAGAATTGCACAGACAAAGGCAATCTGAGTAGGGTAGGCCTCCAAATCTTCCCAGAGTTACCATAGTTGGAAATACATTTAAGCGGGCCAGCATAAAGGCGCGGCGGTGAGATGGAATTGGTAGCGTTGAGAATAAAAATCAGGAACTCTCTGGAGGGGACAACCCCAAAGCCAAAGGAGAGCAGGTGCACCTGGCCCTGGCCACGGTGCTGGCCCAATCCAACTGTTTGAGTTTCTTCAAAGTTTCCTCAAGCTGAGAGGGCATCAGCTCTTCGGTAGGTGAGGACATCGGAACTCTCACTTTTTGTCTCTCTCTCATTCTCCCTTCCTCCTGTCTTTCTTGTTCTCTGCCTTCTTTCTGAGTTCCCAGTGCCTCCTGCAAATACACACATTCTCACGCTCTCATTCCCCAGTATTCCCCCCCACCGGTATCTCATCCACACACAGACTGTTGTTTGATGTAGTGGTTAGGAGTGCGGACTCTAATCTGGGAGACCCGGGTTTGATTCCCCATTCCTCCACATGCAGCCAACTGGGTGACTTTGGGTCAGTCACAAGTTCTCTCGGAGCTGTTCTCTCAAGGGCGGTTCTTGAGAGAGCTCTCTCAGCCCCACCTACCTCACAGGGTGTCTGTTGTGGGGAGGGGAAGGGAAAGGAAATTGTAAGCCACTCTGAGACTCCTTCGGGTAGTGAAGGGAGGGGTATAAATCCGATCTCTTCTCTTCTGTATTTCTTATAAATCCGATCTCTTCTCTTCTTTATTTCTCTTTCTTTCTGTGCCCCTCTGGTCTCACACACACAAACATACACACACGTTATCCTTAATTTCTTTCTTTCTCCATTCCTGTCCGCCTGCCTCCCACACACACAGACACAAACGGTCATCACTTTCTGTTTCTCAGTCCTTCTGGTCTCTGTAGTATGCATCCCATCTCCTCTTCAAGGATTGGCCCTGTACACAATAACAACGGCTTGTATCTCTTCCAAGTAAAAAGAGAGAGAGAGAGGTTAGAAAAGTTAACATATGTTTTGTGTGATTAAATTGACAATTTAAAAAAAAAAAAATGTTTAAACAATATTGATGTTTGGAGACAAATGGTGAATCAGATGGACGACTCATTTTGGTGTACGTGAAATGCTCAAAGGCAGTGATTATGTTAATGATTCGTGTTCTGCATGTATCACTGAATTGTGAATTAAAATGTAGTATTTATAGCGTGCTTATCTCTTTGAATTTTCTGTCGGGCATTTTCTATGTGTAAAGAATTTTTAAGAATGGCCAAGAGGCTGCTTTTTAAAAATGGTTTGATGGTCGCTGTTTTTGTTGTGGGTATAATTGGGAGGGGGGGTTAGGCTATAGATCTGTTTTGTGAACAGTTTTAACCCGTGCAAGATAAATATATGAACGATGCCTTGTATAAGGTCATTATGAAAAAGTCTGCTCTTGTGACTATAGATCCATTGAGGATTTTGTCCCATGTCACATTCTGGTGTCCAAGATTTGAGGCAGAGCGCCAAAGATTTCTGAAGACCATTATATCTTGTTTCCCAGGAAGGTCAGATCGGGATAAATTAGTATTACTACTGGCAGATAGGGATAAATTCATTTCTTTCCGAATGGCAATGTTTGTTGCCGCCATCAGACAGATGACTCGTAATGTAAACACGGTTGACTTGCACGCTAATGGTTCCACTCTGGGTCATTAGCCATTGTATTGTAAGGTTGGATTTCGAGATATTTTAAATGAGTGTCATCTATTTTAATTTATTCTATGAAAATGTGTGGACATTTCTTGTTTTTGCTTTGACAAAATCCTTGTAGTGTTGCTATGGTATTTTTGACGATGCGATAAAAGACTGAGGGACTGACCGATTGGTATAAGACCGTTAAACACCAGCCTGAGTTTTGATAATTGGGTGATGGAAGTGTAAATAAAAAAAGAGTACTTGAAGGAAGATGGAGAAATAGTAGCCGAACCAAAAGGAGTTGCTTAATTTGGTCCTTAATGCTGACGTTACTTGAGTGGGGGGGGGGCACATCGAAAACATGAGGTTGGATCCAGCTACCGCTTTTGCTCGGACTTCCAAGAAAGGATCTGGGGATCCATGAAAACAACCTTACTTAATCCCACACAGAACAAATTTAGAGTCCCGGTGGCACCTTTAAGACCAACAAAGGTTTAGTCGTGTGCAAAGCACACAAAAGCTCATACCTTGAATAAACTTTTGTTGGTCTTAAAGGTGCCACCGGGACTCTAAACTTGTTCTACTGCTTCAGACCAGCACGGCTGACCACCTGGATAAATCCTACAAAAACTGGTAGAAAGCCTTATGGTTAAAAATGCTTACAAATATAGACCCAAACAGTCTCGCTGAGAAGGATCATCACTGTTTGTGGCGCAAGAAGGTCCGCCTTCACCTAGGATTCTGCATGAGTAGTGATGAAATGTGTAGGAAAGTGTGCAGTGCTAGGCAGTGGTCTGTGGAGAGTTTTGTAAAGGATTCAGGATGAGCACCGTCCTTTCCAGAATTTCGTCTAGTTTGAGGAGGACATTTGTCATTTTCTGTGGTGTTTTCTGTTTTGATTTGTGTTAGGGTTGCCAAGTAATTCACCTGGCACAGCAGGGGGGCCCCGGTTCAGGTCTGGGAGATTCGTGTGCGCGTGCCGCGATGATGCCACCCGGAAGGGACGTCATTCACATTGGGCACGTCGCTGGCTGACGCTCTAGCAATCGGCCTGGAAACTCTATGGCACCATAGAGTTTCAGGCTGATTGCTAGAGCGTCAGCCGGTGACATGCCCGGCGCAATGACGTCACCTCTGGGTGACATCATGATGCTGGGCACATCGGCCCGAACCGGGCACTTTGGGGGCGGGGTTCCCCCGCCGGCCTGATCCGGATTGGTGGGTTGGGAGCTGTGGCGAAACCCCCCCCCCCCCCGGGACTTGGCAGCCCTATTTTGTGTGTTTGTTTAATCTGACAGTGGTCCTCAACATGGTACCAACCAATAACCTTTCTGGTACCTGTCAATTTATTTATTTTATTTTCATTTTATTAGATTTATATACCGCCCTCCCCAAACAGGCTCAGGGTGGTGTACAGCATTTAAAATAGTATTAAAATAACCATTTACACATAATAATATCATATCGTAAAATGACATGTAAACAAAGAGGTCAGATGTTAGGGCAATTCGGTATCTAATCAGGTCCAGTCAGGATGAGGCCACTGGTGGACGATTGGCCAGAAAAGCTTTTTAGAAAGCGGACAAGGCCAAGAGGGCTTCTGATTGGCCACTGGAGATCTGATGGACTATGCAGATTAAAACAACATTGTTTCAGCGGAAGCTGCAACTGCAGTGTTCGTTTTAGTCTCTCTCACACTCCTCTTTCCTAATTATTTTTTAAAAATTAATTGTCACATCCCCAGCACCAGGGCTGTCTGTGTGTCTGTGTCAGTGCTCTGCCTCCTACAGCAGCCATTTTGTGACTGGGCCAGCACCCCGTGTCAGAATTCCAGAGGGGTGCCCACCGGCTCTGAAAGTTTGGGGAACCCCGTGCTATAAACTGAGAACTGGCTGCTCTCTGTCTTTGGTTCTGAGTCAGTGAAGCAGCACTTTGCTTCACTTTGCTCAGAGCAAACTTGTTCCATTTGGTCAGAATCGACCCATCTCCAAATGGAGCTCCTTTATTGCGGTTACAATGCTGTGTGCATTTTTCTTGCCAGGAGCCGTTATCTTACTCGGGAGAACCAACATGTTCCGTTTCAATCATCCCAAGGAAGCGGCTAAACTGAGGGAAAAAAGAAAGGTAAGCATAGCAGAGTTCTTGGGGACCATCAGTGGGTGCGGTCAGATGGGCCATTTAGTCCGCTTTCGACCCACCTCAGCAACGGATTTTATCTGCGTGATCACACGGTCAACATCTGCCTCCCGTCCCCAGCCGTCGCTTTTTGGCTCAAAACTGCTTTAACCCAGAGTATTTTGGTACCAGGTCCCCAAGTGGTGTTTTCCTGATTCTCCGGTTCCAGACGCATTTTCCCCCTGTGTGATCGCTCCTGTGGTGTCGAGCCACTTCCGGTTTAAACCCCCTCCCCGCTCGAAAGCCGTCCGAGGCTTCCGCTTTTCACCCGCCATTTCTTTTAAAGCGTTGGCAGTGTGCACATAGGCGGAGGTCCACCACCGCGTTATTAAAAACAATGTTTAAATGGTGCCTAGTTTTAGCCTTTAGACGAGTTTGGGATCTCACAGAGGCCATTTTCGGGGTAAACGTTTAAAGGGAAGTGTTCCTTGAAAGTTTAAAGGGAAGTGTTACAGCAGTCGGGTTGAAGTGGAAATTGCTGTTCTGCGCATGCGTGAAAATTTTAGTTCTACAGATGGCTGCCTGTGCGCATGCCCAAACTGAGAGAGAGAGAGAAAAACAACACTGACGCACGCTCCCGCGTGTGGACGGTGGGAAGCAATGTGACTGTGCAGCGATCCGGAGCAAGGAGGTGAGCATGATCGCGATTCTCCAGGTTAAAATAGACCGCATCGGGGCTGGAGCAATTTAAACCGCTCCCAGCACGCCGTCTGACCGCACCCAGTATCTTGTCAAAAAGTCCAGTTGTTTAATAAGTACTGTGTTCGGTAGGGAAAACTTATGCGATTTCAGTAGTGATAGTAATGAGTAATTATTCGATCTTCTGCTGTTTTGTTAGAGCGGACTGCTCTCTTCCTTCAGTTTATCCATGTCGGATCTTTCAAAATCTTGCGAGAACCTCTCCGCAGTCATGTTGTATAATCCAGGGTGAGTAAATTTCAAGAAGCCGTCCTATCGATATCGGTAATGTACGTGCCGCTTAATTGTTTGAGAAACAAAGTTTTTGAACCTGTCTTGCTGCAAATGCATGTAAGTGTCTAGAATATGTCAGGCATTCATAGAATCATAAAATGTTAGAGTTGGAAGGGACCTTGCAGGTCATCTAGTCCAACCCCCTGCACTCTGCAGGAGCATAGCCAAAAGATAGCCTTACAACACACCTGAAAGATGGTTGTCCAGCCTCCGCTCGAAAACGTCCAGCGAAGGAGCATCCACCACCTCCCGTAGGTACCATCCACTCAAGAATTTCCCACAACTATGTATGAATGTCTCCTCAGAGCTCTTGGTTCCGTCAGAGGCAATCTCTCGTTCGGAGCATATATGGTGGTGTGAAGGCGGTAAGGAGATAATTGATAATTTCTTCCCATTTTCCAATGAATAATCAGCACTGTCAAGCTGTTCCAGACAGGTGATGTTCATGCAGAGTGTTGGAATCTTGCCCCGGCTCACACCGCTTCTTTAAAAAAACCTTCTGCCACCATGAGCTGGTTAGTTTCTGTGGTCTGCTTTTTCACCTTTGCTATAGACCAGGGGTCTCCAACATACTGCCTGTGGGCACCGAGTCCCCAAGTGTTTTTAGAACGTGGGCAATGCCAGGCCCGGCTTTTGCCCAGCAAATCTTCTGGCTGTTGAAGACTGAATTAGACGTACATCCATTTTGAAACGTTGCTTCAGCAGCAGCAGCCACCCCAATACAAGAGTCTTCACTGCGTGACCGAAGGTCAACGGTGGCAGCCATTACGTGGCTGGCTCCACCCCCTCGGGCCGCCATTTTGTGACAGTTGTTTTGTGGCTGCGCCCACCAGACCGTATCAGCATTCTAAAGGTGCCCACGGGCTCAAAAAGGTTTGGGACCCCTGTGGTAGACTAACCTATCGACTCCTGCACGTTGATTCTTTTCTGGTATGTGCTTTAACTTCCACTGTGCACAAGGGATTTGGGTCGGACTTCTGCCCGTTCAAGTGCTCCAGAATCGTCACATCTGCCAGGCTTTTATCCGTCAGCTAGTCCAGAGTCCTATTTTGCCTCTCTGTCCTCTTCCTAGGTTCCCAATACTCCTCATTCTCTGCACTTACACAATATGTAATGTTATTTTTTAATACTTTACACGCTATTGATGTTCACTGGACAGTGTTGAACATGTGTCTGTGTGTGCAAACGGGAAAACAACCCACAATATTATCTTGTGAGAAGGAAATGAAGGGGGATGCCTAGAGGGGATAAGGAGGAGGAGGAGGAGGAGGAGATTGGATTTATGCCCCACCCTTCACTCGGAGTCTCAGAGCGGCTTACAAACTCCTTCCCCTCCCCACAACAGACACCCTGTGAGGTAGGTGGGGCTGAGAGAGTGCTGAGAGAACTGTCCTTGAGAGAGCAGCTCTGAAATAACTTGTACACCAAACTGGCTCTCCATCCATATAGACAGACAGGCAGACAGACAGCTCTTGTCAGAACGATGGCTTGCCCAAGGTCATCCAGCAGCTGCGAGTGGAGGAGTGGGGAATCAAACTCAGTTCTCCCAGATTGGAGTCCGCGCACTTAACCACTACACCAAACTGGGGAGACTCTTGTTATAGATAACACAAGAAGAGCCCAACTGGATCAGAATCAGGGTCCATCCTGCATCTTGTTTAGAGTAGTGACTGTCCAGTTGTTTCCGAGGGCCCAGCTGCTACTGCATGTTGATTCTAGCCTAATCTCATCAGATCTCAGAAGCTAAGCAGGGTGGGCCCTGGGTTAGAATTCGGATGGGAGACCACCAAGGAAGTCCAGGGTCGCTACACAGAGACAGGCAATAGTAAACCACCTCTGAACATATCTTGTTTTGATCTGGATGGCCCGGGATAACCTGATCTTCTCAGATCTTGGAAGCTAGGTTAGTACTTGGTTAGCACTTGGATGGGAGGCCACCATGGAAGTTCAGGGTTGCTACTGAGAGGCAGGCGATGGCCAACCACCTCTGAACTTCTCTTGCCTCGAAAACCCTACAGGGTCACCATAAGTCATCTAGTCATCAAGCTATGACTTGATGGCACTTTACACACATGAAAACATGCACAGGCAACACCCTTCTCCTCTCTCCTTTGCTTGTCAATGGCAACTGGTACTTGGGGGCATGCTTTCTATGAACAAGACTCCTTCTCCCGAAATACTGGAGCTCGAGGGCATCCAATGAAGCTGACAGGTAGTAGGTTCAGAATGGACAAAAGGAAACACTACTTTACACAGTGAGGAATTTCACATTACCCTTTTTAACCCGTTTTGAAGCCGTTTTTGATCCGTCGTGGAGTAAGCCAGTATAGGGCTGCCATTTCACACATGGCTTTCCCCTTCTGGTAAAGAGCTGGATCTGAAGCGGTTTGCCATTTCAGACTGCACCGCTTTTTCCCCACCGTTTTTTGCCCATGCAGGCGATCTCCAGCTTTTTTTTTTTTTTTGAACATTCGCTTTAGAGCGCTATAGCACTATAACAAAACACTCCAGGCATTTCAATGGGGTTGATATAATGCTGTTGCGTTATAGTGTTATAGCGCTATAAAGCGAACGTTCAAAAAAAAAAAGCCGGAGATCGCCCACGTGGGCGAAAAACGGCGGGGAAAAAGCAGATCGGAACCGGGAGAGGAAACTGAAGACTACTTGGAAGCGGTTGACAGGTAAAACGCTTCAGCCCCGTTTCCTAAACGGGACAGAAGCTTTTGTGTCTGAAATTACAAATATATTCCGGTAGGGAACCGGTTCTAAAACGGTTCTGTCTGAAATGACAGACCAGAAACCGTTTGGGAACCATTCCTCTTCTGGATTATATCGTCTGTCTGAAATTCCTCATTGAGTGATTAAAATGTGGAATTCACCGCCAGAGGATGTAGTGATGGCCGCCGGAATAAACAGCTTTAAAATGGGAGTAGATAGATTCTGGAGGATAAGTCTATCAATGGCTACTAAACATGGTGACTAGGAGTGTGCATTCTGTGCTGTCTGAGCCAAAAACCTAACTGAAAAATACCTTATCAGTATATATCAGCTACTCTTTCAGCTGGATATGGAGGGGGGTGGTGTATTTTCAGCTATCGAGCATAGCCGATCCCGGATAATCCCAAAAGCATTTTGAATTATCCAGGAAAATAGGATAGCTCCAGTTAAATGATGTTTACCCTAACCCTTTAAACACTGTTCTAGGTGAAGGTGCAGTTTCATGAATGTATTTAAAGGGACCACACCACAACACCTTTAAATGCCTTCACCTCCATTATAGCCTATGGGGACCATTATAGTCAATGATCCCCATAGGCTATAATGGGGAATCTATGCGGGGGTCTGGGAAGGTTATTTTTTGAGGTAGAGGCACCAGATTTTCAGCGTAGCTTCTAGTTCCTCTACTACAAGTTTCAAAAAGATTGGACCAGGGGGTCCAATTCTGTGGGCCCCTAAAGAAGGTGCCCTATCCTCCATTATTTCCAATGGAGAGCAAAAACTGCAAAAAAAACCAGAGACTGATGTCAAACCAGTGAGTCTCCACAGTAGAAACTGAAGGAGTGGCATTTTTTTGCAGAACCAGTGCTCTTGTGGCAATGCCAGCTCAACAAATCCAAGCAAAGGGGGAGGGGGTCAATCCTAGCACAGCTAATGCATGTACAGAGTGCCCAGCAAAACCAGTGCAATGTACTAGTGACCAGCAAAACCTGGTGCCTTCCCTTAAAAGCTTTCTCTTTTTTTTCTCCATTGAAAACAATGGAAGATGGGTGCACCTTCTTTGGGCACTCTGTACATGCACTGGTTCTGCTTGGCACTCTGTACATGCATTGTCTGTGCTGTGCTTGCACCTCCCTTTGCTTGGATCTGTTGAACTGGTATTGCCACAGTGGCACTTGTTCTGCAGGGCAGTCTGTACATGCACTGGTTCTGCTGGGGTTGGGAAAAAACCCCACACACCTTCAGTTTCTACTGAAGAGACTCTCTGGTTTCACATCATCATTTTTTTTGCTGTTTTTCCCCACCTTTGGAAACGATAAGAGTATGGGGGCACCATAGAATTGTACCCTTGGTCCAATCTTTTTGAAACTTTGGGGATCTTTTGAGGAGAGGCACCAGAAGCTAAGCTGAAATTTTGGTGCCTCTACCTCAGAAAACAGCCCCCCCAACTCCTGAATACCCCCAGATTCCCCATTGACTAGAATGGTCCCATAGGCTATAATGGAGCTGGGGGAGGGGAAATGGGATTTTGGGGGGAAATCCAAATACCATACTGGTAAAGGAATTCAGGGTTTTTTTGGGGGGGGGGATCCCAAAAAATTTGGGGTCCAATATATCCAAATCTGAAAAAATCCCATTTTTTTATGCACACCCCTAACGGTGACTGAGGGGAACTTCCACATTCAGCAGCACTAAGCCTCTGAATCCCAGAGCCAGGAGGCAACGTCAGAGGAAGGCCTCGGTCCCTCTGCCCTGTTGCTGGCCCTCCAGAGGAACTGGTTGGCCACTGTGTGAGACAGGAGGCTGGACTAGATGGACCATTGGTCTGATCCAGCAGGGCTCTTCTGATGTTCTTATGGGACCTCTAAGGAAGGGTATAAATGGAGGAACCAGGTAAATAAATAATAATAATAATAAGAAGAGATTGGATTTATACCCCACCCTTCACTACCGAAAGGTGTCTCAGAGTGGCTTACAATCTCCTTTCCCTTCCCCTCCCCACAACAGACACCCTGAGAGGTGGGTGGGGCTGAGAGAACTCTGACACAAACTGCTCTTTCAGGAACAGCTGTGCCAGAGCTTGTGACTGACCCAAGGTCACATCAGCAGGTGCAAGTGGAGGAGTGGGGAATCAAACCCGGTTCTCCCAGATTAGAGTCTGCACACTTAACCACTACTCCAAACTGGCTCTCTGACAATGACAAATATGATAATGACAAATAAGATAAGATAATGACAAATAAGATAAGATAAGGAACGGGATAGCTGAATGAATAGTTAAAATCCCTCTTATGACTCATCCATATCTAACTCGCTCAAGTCTGAAAACGTGTCTCTCCGGCTTTCATGGTAGCCATTCTGTTCTGGCCCTCCAAGTTCTATTTATTTAAAGTGACATCCTGCGTTTTTGGCCCTTGTGGTTTCAGGAGATGTATCTCGGTCATAAAACGCAAGATACGGGGTGGGGGGGGGGATAGACAGATAAAAGCAGTGAATTAAATGCCTATATTTCTGCAGACCACAGCAGTGGTTCTGTTTCTCTTTACATTTAAGACAGGTGCAGATTTTCAGCAAAAGCCTCAAGTCAGCAAGACCCTTTTAGTGTTCAAGGCAAACATCAACGTATTCTATACTTAACTGCGTTTGGAAGGATTTCCTTCTATATTTCCTGTTAATCCTTCATAGGACTGTGGTATCTTTGAACAGCCTACTTAGGATAAGAGCAAGCACATTTCCCCTTTGAATTACCGGTTTCAGCTATCACGTTAACTCAGGTTGCCTGATCCTTATTATTCAAGGCGCTTTTTCCCATGGAACTATGGGGGTTTGGATAGCACTATTTCCATGAGGCCTAATGCTAGGCAGGCTGGGGCTTGTGGAGTGATCTGTGAATAGATGAATCTTCCCTAACTGTCGTGGGGTTAGCCTGTGTCTGTTACAGTTAGGTTACTCTGCAGGGCTCTATGCCCACTTTTGGTTTAACTTACAAAAGGAGGAGAAAACCCTGCTCCTGCAAATCCTACAAGATAATCCTACTCCGGCCCATGAGGTGCCGAAGCAAAGAAGATGTGAAAGCTCTCTTCCATGAGAAATGTAAGGGGCGATCAAGAATGAATAATTTATTACGGTCCATGACCAGATACAAGTTCACACAGCAAAGGGGAGAGCATAGGGATGTCAGTTGTCCTTTCCGGGTGGGCATTCTATTGCCACTGCCCACCGCCCCCCCCCAGCGAACAGTTGGGGGGGGGACACAGAAAATGTTGGTGTCATGTACAGGTGAAAACCTGGATGTGACATCAGCAGGGCTATTTTTGGGCAGGAACGCACAGGAACGGAGTTCCGGCTGGCTCCCAAGTTGGCCACGCCCAACAGGAACTCATTAGCATAATAGGCCACACCCAATAGCAGAAACTCATTAGGATTGGCTACATCAGGGGTGTGTGGCCTAACATGCAAAGGAGTTCCTGCTCCAAAAAAAGGCCCTGGGTTTTGACAACAAACAAGTTAAAAAGAATAAAAAGCAAAAGGTAGGTGTGGCTGGATAACCACACTTCTGGTAACATGGGGGTGCAGCCTAATGTGCTAATGAGCTGTGCTGTCAGGGGTGTGGCCCAATATGCTAATGAGTTCCTGCTCTTGGGTGTGGCCTATTATGCTAATGAGTTCCTGCTGGGCTTTTTCTACAGAAAGAGCCCTGGACATCAGTTGATGTTCTAGGAGCTACCATAGACATTCTAGAGCATCGGCTGATGCGCTGATGTCACATCTATATTTTCACCTGGATGTGATGACACATAGAAGAAGAAGAAGAAGAAATTGGATTTATACCCCGTCACTTACATAGAAAGGTTGCCTCAGCAACTCCACAAGTCCAATAATCACCTTTAACCCCTTTACTAATTCTAGCTAATTTATGGGGCGATAGATGCCCCCGATAAAACAGATTTCTGGTGATCTTTAGTGGGGGACTGCACTGACCTGTTGATGACGTATGTGTGGTTATGTTCCGTAGCGAGGTTGTTGGCATTACACACCCCCTTTTTGCCACTTGTACTCTTTTATCTTATTTCTGTAAACTCTTCTCTTAACTGATGACTCTTTCTCTCTACCTCCTCTGGCAGTCTTTTCCCTGTAAAAGGACCAATCTGTCTCAGGTAGAGAAACTCAATTTCTTTATATTGATCGCTTATGCCTGCATGTACCTAACTCATAAAAAAATCTCCGTTAACCCATCTTGTTTAATGTTGCTGTGTCATGGTTGCAAATTAAACGCGGGGTAAACACATCATTTGTTAAGTTATTAAATCTATCAAATGATATCAAGTGTCATTTGTAATCATAGTAGGGCTTTTTTTTAAATCATGTGTCCCTTTTTCTTTTATAAAAACTAGATTAGAGTTTGAGAGGCAGCAACGAGAAGAACTAGAAAAATTGGAAAGTAAAAGGTAAGGATGTTCGAGTGTAAAAATGTCCACCCGGTGCTGACGGATCAGCATTGGGGAGAGAAAGGAATATATTCTCAAATTTGGTGGAGTGTTTTGTTGAAATAACTTCCAAGTTAGAGAAACAGTGGGGGATCCTGTAGAGCATTTGCCATAGAGAGATACATTCCCACCCGAGGAGCGTAACTTCCTTGTCCTCCCCTCTTCAATTTGCAGACCCATCTGCCCCTGGAGTTCTACTCCTGGGGACCCCCTGACCAGTGTTCCCTCTAAGCTGAGTTAGTGTGAGCTAGCTCACAGTTTTTTAGCCTCCAGCTCACACATTTTTGTCTGAGCTCAGGAAGGATGGCTCCAGAGCAAACTAACTTATGCAGCAGCCAAATCGCTTGCTCACACGTTTAATGGCAGTAGCTCACAAAGTAGAATTTGTGCTCACAAGACTCTACAGTTTAGAGGGAACATTGCCCCTGACCCCCATGGGAAGCACAATAGAAAGGCTGTTTCATTTGAAGATGATCGTAATATTATTGATATGAGGCAAACAAAAGAAAAACAAACTGTAAAGCACACTCCGGACAGTAATAAAAACAATATACAGGGCTCTTTTTGTAGAAAAAGCCCAGCAGGAACTCATTAGCATAATAGGCCACACCCAACAGCAGAAACTCATTAGCATATTAGGCCCCTGACAGCACAGCTCATTGGCACATTAGGCCGCACCCCCATGTTACCAGAAGTGTGCTCATCCAGCCACACCCACCTTTTGCTTCTTATTCTGTTTACCTTGTTAGTTGTCAAAACCCAGGGCTTTTTTGTAGCAGGAGCTCCTTTGCATGTTAGGCCACACACCCCTAATGTAGCCAATCCTAATGCGTTTCTGCTCTTGGGTGTGGCCTATTATGCTAATGAGTTCCTGCTGGGTGTGGCCAACTTGGGAGCCAGCCAGAATTCCGTTCCTGTGCGTTCCTGCCCAAAAATAGCCCTCTCTGTGTGTGTGTGTGTGTGTGTGAGTGTATTCAAGCAATTCACTAGAAATTCAATATTAGGTGATACAATATCACCTAATAATAATTACTAGTATTCAACTGTGTGGTAATAGTCTACAATTCTGATTCATCTAACATCCCACAAGAAAGGGAAAAGTGTATAGAGTTCACAGGAGTAAATTTCCAGATTCATTTAACATCCCTCATGGGAGGGAAAAGTAAGTAACTTTCACTGGAGTAGAAATCCAACCTCAAAAAATGTACACAAATTAAAGGAAAGAGTCCTTAATACAGTCAGTCCCTTTCTCATCAGAGAGTGTGTACGTTCAGCAGAATGCTCTTGGGAACTGTTTTGGGGTATATGTTCTAAGATACTTTGAGTTTCAGCTGTGGGGAGGAAAGCGGGATATAAGCTTATAAATGCAAACGCAAAATGTGATCTATGTTATTGCACTCGCATTCCATGTTTGCATCCACGTACAGGGTTAAATGTTCTTGTAAAATTATGCTTTTTAAAGAACATCACTGTTAATGTAATGTAGCTTTTAGAATAACAGCTCCCTTAATGCATAGCTACACTGTTCCTGATCAAAGACTCATTCTCTCTCAGTGGTTCTTTCGTACTAGGAGAGCTCTCTCTCTCTCTGTGTGTGTGTGCAGGAAAGCAGAACAGAAGGATGTCTGAAACTTTCAGAACAATTGCACAATGGAAATAAAGGGCCTGTGATCTCCCAGGTGCCAAGGCTTTGAAGTCATAACTCCTTTTTCTTTTGTTGTTTAATGCCTTAGAAAGCTGATAGAAGAAATGGAGGAGAGACAAAAGTCGGACAAAGCCCAACTCGAAAGGATGCAGCAGGAAGTGGAGTCTCAGCGCAAGGAGACGGAAATCGTTCAGCTGCAGATCCGAAAGCAAGAGGAGAATCTCAAGAGGAGAAGCTTCCACATTGAAAGCAGGATGAAGGACTTGCTCGCCGAAAAGGAGAAATTCGAGGAGGAGAGATTACGCGAACAGCAAGAAATTGAGTCTCAGAAGAAGAAGCAGGAAGAAGAAGTTTTTGTTCGGGTGAAAGAAGAGCTGCAGCGGTTGCAGGAGCTCGGGCAGAACGAAAAGGCGGAAAAAATGCAGATTTTCCGAGAACTGGAAAAACTCAAAAAGGAAAAAGAGGAGCAGTATCTCAAGCTGGAAATGGAAAAAAAGAGGCTCGAGGAGCAGGAAAGAGAACAAGTAATGCTGGTGGCCCACCTGGAAGAGCAGCTCAGAGACAAACAGGTCATGATCCAGGTGTTAAAAAGAGGAGACATGCAGAGGGTCGAAGAAGAGAAGAAGGACCTCGAAGACATCCGGGAGTCTCTCCTGAGAGTCAAAGAAGCAAGATCAGAAGGCGACGAAGACTGCGAAGAGCTAGAAAAGGCCCAGCAGAAGTTTATGGACTTCAAGAGGAAGCAGTTGGAGCAGCTCATCAGTTTGGAGAGAAACTTGGTCCAACAGAAGGATCACCTGGAAAAAGAGGTGGCTGACGAACACGAACATTCGGGACGTTTGAAACACCTTCAGCACGCGAATCTTGAGAGGCACAATGAGAAGGCCACCAACGCTGCCTTAGGCGTTGGCGAAGGTAGCAAAATAACATCTGAATATTGGCTACAGCAGAGACAGCAGCAACTCCGGCACTTGACGGATCACGATTTACCCGCTCTGTTGGAGGAAAAGCAGAGAACCTCGGAGGTCCTCGACAGAGGCTTGCAAAGCTTGGACAACACTCTTTATGAAGTCGAGAAGGAAATGGAAGAGAAAGAAGAGCAACTGACGCAGTACCAGGCCAGCGCCAGCCAGCTGCAGCAGCTTCGAGAGACATTCGAATTCACCGCCAACGTGGCTCGGCAAGAAGAGAAAGTTCGGAAGAAGGAGAAAGAAATCCTCGAGTCAAGGCAGAAGCAGCAACGGGAGGCCCTGGAGCAAGCCGTGGCGAAGCTGGAAAGGCGGCACTCGGCTTTGCAACAGAGTTCTACCCTCGATATAGAAATTGAAGAGCAAAAGCAAAAACTTGCGGTTCTGAACAGCAGCTGCGGCGAGCAGGCCGGCCTCCAAGCAACCATCGAGGCGGAGCAAAAAGCCTTAGAGCAAGACCGAGAAAGGTATGAAGGAAGGTGTTAATAATTAGCCCCCACCATTTATTTTACAAAAAATATATTGTCTACCCTTTAAATTTAATGTTACGTAAATAATTAACCACCATGGTGCTTCTTCTGATGTCTTCGTTCCGAAGTTGGGGTGGGTGGGGGCGTGGCTCAGAAGTAGAGCATCTGCACGGCATGCAGAAGGTCCCAGGTTCGATCCCTGGCATCTCCAGTTGAACAATCCAGGCAGTAGGTGATGTGAAAGACCTCTGCCTGAAACCCTGAGGAACTGCTTCCAGTCTGGAGAATTTCTTCCAATCTGAACTTGAAGGATCATAGAATCATAGATGATGTCTTCGTTCCGATGTTGGGGAGGGGCTGTGGCTCAGTGGAAGAGCCTGTGCATGGCATGCAGAAGGTCCCAGGTTCGATCCCCAACATCTCCAGTTCAAAAAGGACCAGGCAGGAGGTGATGGGAAAGACCTCTTTCTGAGACCCTGGAGAGCTGGTACCAGTCTGAGTAGACAATACTGACCTCGATGGACTATTGGTCTGATTCAGTATGAGGCAGCTTCTAGTGTGTTCCTGTGAATAGTAGTTTAACAGAAGTTTGCCAACTGCTTGGATTCTCTAGTTGTAGTCCAACAACAACAGAGGGTCTTACACTCTATGAAACGCCCGAACAAACATTCTTCAAACATTAAATTTGATGAACAGTTTCTAAAGGTTAAGAAGCACTGGTGAATATTTTAATGTTCCATTTGCGTTTTCAGTAGCACCAGATGCGGTCTTAGCGTGCGATGTGGATCAGGGCCTTGTGCATACCCATGAAGCTGTCTTATGCGGAGTCAGGATGTTAGTCTGTTGAAGTTAGTACTGTCTACCCAGACTGGCCCAGGCTAGCCTAATATTAGCAGATCTCAGAAGCTAAGCAGGATCGGCCCTGGTTAGTATTTGGATGGGAGACCACCGAGGAAGTCCAGGGTTACTATGCAGAGTCAGGCAATGGCAAACCCACCTCTGTTGGTCTCTTGCCTTGACTCATATGACCCAATTTTGTTAGATGTCAGAAGCTAAGAAGGGTCAACCCTGATTAGTACTTGCAATGGCAAACCACCTCTTGCATTGAAAAACCCATGGGGTTGCTGTAAAAGAAGTTAAGGTTTGATAGGTAAGTAAGTATTGCGTATATTTCAGTTTTCCCGAAAGGTTTTTTGGGGGGGCAGGGTTCCCCACACAAAAAGAAGCCCTGGGGGAAATGGGTTATTTTATTCTACAGCCTCAAACTCTGTGGAAATTTTACATCTTTGCTCTGGTCACCCAGACACTGGGTTCAGGACAAACTCTTGCCTGAGACAAAGGAAAATAGTTGCTAGTCTTAACATGGGGCTGACCCCGTTTCTGCACGCCAGGAAGACTTGGTGATTTAGCTGTTTGTACCAGTTGAGTGTTTTGAAGCAGCTGTTGGCGACTTTGAGCCTTACCCCACTGAATAAGACTTGTTGCATTTGGGCTGTTTTGGGAATGAAAAATTAATGTTTTGAAGAAATAAACTACTCCTATATTATGGCAATATTTCGGGGCGGAGCAGGGAGGAGAACTGGTATGGTGTTTTTGCTCTGGGTGGAATATTCCTGTTGATTGAGGGGTGTGTTTGCTACTGTTATTCTAGCAGAGATCCTAAGGTGGGCGGCTGACTGGAACCTAAGAAGCTAACTTTCAGAAACTTTTTAAAAAGTTCCTTTGATTAATAATTTTTCTGGACAAATTTTTAGATAACATCACGCACCATTTGGAGTGGCATTTGTAAGTTATTTCTGTCGAAACTGTTAGGAGGTGTGAGACTCCCGGCCTGTGAAAGAATGATTAGTTTTTCCCCCCAGACAAATTGTTTACCTTGATTTTCATTTTTCACATACCAAATTTCCAGGAGGCACCATGCAATAACAGACTTCAAGTCAATTATAAGATTTCTGATTAAGAACATAAGAGAAGTCAATGTTGGATCAGGCCAGTGGCCCATCCAGTCCAACACTCTGTGTCACACAGTGGCCAAAAACACCAGGTGCCATCAGGAGGTCCAGCAGTGGGGCCAGGACACTAGAAGCCCTCCCACTCTTGGCCCCCCTCAAGCACCAAGAATACAGAGAATCCCTTGCCCCAGACATAAGAACATAAGAGAATCCAATGTTGGATCAGGCCAATGGCCCATCCAGTCCAACACTCTATATCACACAGTGGCCAAAAATACCAGATGCCACCAGGAGGTCCACCGGTGGGGCCAGGACACCAGAAGCCCTCCCACTGTTGCCCCCCCCCCCTAGCACCAAGAATACAGAGCATCACCTGCCCCAGACCTAGAGTTCCTATCTATACCTTGTGGCTTATAGCTAATGAGGAACATCTGTTCTTAAGAACATAAGAGAAGCCAATGTTGGATCAGGCCAATGGCCCATCCAGTCCAACACTCTGTCACACAGTGGCCAAAAATACCAGGTGCCACCAGGAGGACCACTGGTGGGGCCAGGACACCAAAAGCCCTCCCACTGTTGCCCCCCCAAGCACCAAGAATACAGAGCATCCCTTGCCCCAGACTACAGAAGTAGTCCCTTCAACAACACAAGAAGCCGACTTATACCAAGATAGAATCCAGTGGGGAGCCATGTTGGTCTTATACTAGGTCAGACAATAAGTCTGTCAAGGTCAGGACCGTTGACTGTGACTGCCTTTGGCTTGTCAAACTGATGCTCCTTTTGGAGAGGCTAGTCAGGCCAGGATCTAGGAAGCCGTCAAGCTGTCCCGTTAGAGGATTAGGAGCCCCCAGGTCCCAGTGGGGGTCCCCCCACTTTGGGGGGCTTCGATCCTCATCTGGCCACTTGGCCGGCTGGGGAAACCCCACCCCCAAACGGGGATGTCGTTGTGTGATGTTCCGGTTGCGATGATGTCACTTCCAGGTGACATCATCGCGTTGAGGACGTCACATGCAGCATCCCGCCCAGCCCTGGAACGCCCCCCCCCAAATCCCCCCACCGAGACGGCAAGGGGACCTGGCAGTCTTGCCCAGTTACCTCAGTTGCCAGATTTTTACCCAACAGAAAAGGAGGATAATATGTCAGTAGGGTTATTCTCCTATAAAATAAAAAGAGGATATGAAGCTGTGAGTAACCCTTCTCAGGTAAAGGGAACCTCAGGAGCCCAAACCTTTCCCGACAGGTATGAAAGAATGGCACCAATAGCAGAGTTTAAAAATGAAATGAGAGGAAAGATTTATTCTTCATGAAAGGCAGGGAAATGGGGAAAAGGTTTTATGAGAGCAAACAGTTGGCAACCAACAAGTGCCCGCTACAAACACTATTAACAATGATTTGGCTTTCCCAAACTCAGGGAAGAACTAATAAAAATTATAAACCCTATCGGACGGTTCCTTACAATAAGCAGGCAGTTGTGATACTAGTGAATTTATGCCACCAATAAACCAGGGTTCCCCTGATTAGGCTCTGAATCCCAACTAGTCCCTGTGTGAGTGGGTCTGATCTTTTACTCTGGCCAATCCCTTCAGCAGGGTCTGCTCTGCCCCTCTCTCTGGGACATCCTGCCCACTGTCTCCCAGACTGAGTGTTTTCTCTCTGAAGGCAGCCACTCAAAAGGCCCCCTCCTCCATTAGATTCACTCTCTCCAAAAAAGAACCCCTCCAACCACCCTTCCAACTGCCAGCTCTCCTCCCCCCCCCCCACCCTAACTACGGCCACATCAATTCAAGGGAGGGGCTGCCTACCGGCACCCTGGTGGAGGCTTGGTGTCGTTCACTTTTCCCGGCTCGGCTTCTTCTTTCGGCTGTGTCCCAGTACTTAGGCAGACAGGCGGATGGATGGATCGCCGGCGACGTTGTCCTCAGCCCGACTGTGTCCTTCCGGCTCCGCGCGCCTCCGGATGACGTCACTGCGCCTCCGGATGACGTCACTGGGGGGGTTAATTATAAAAGCATACACACACACACACACACAACACTCTTTGGCATCATTTCAGGCTCTCTCTCTCCCTCCCTCTAGTTGATTCTACCTCCTTTATAAAGCTAAAAGTTCTGAAAACATTCCACAGAGCCTCACAGAGCAACGTGGTAGGACGTTGTGACTCCACGGCAAAAACGGTTTCAGCAGGGAAGCTTAGCTCCTTCAGACAAGGACAGGTGTGAGCTCCAAAAATCTCCACGGTCTGTATTTTCAGAAATGCTGGGCAGGGCTCTCATGTACAATGGAAACCTCTCAGTCCTCAAAAACCGGATTAGTCAGGACATCAACCCTGACTGTTCCCTGGAAGGCCAGATAATGAAACTGAAGCTCAGATACTTTGGCCACCCAATGAGAAGGGAGCCCTCCCTGGAGAAGACCCTGATGCTGGGAAAGATTGAAGGTCAAAGAAGACGGGGACGGCAAAGGATGAGATGGTTAGACAGTGTCATAGATGCAACGAACATGAAGTTGAGCAAACTTCAGAGGACGGTGGAAGACCAGAAGGCCTGGCGGGATCTGGTCCATGGGGTTGCGAAGAGTCGGACTCGACTGGGCGACTGAACAACAACAACAACATGGATGTTCTAACGTGTCATACTATGGCCAACTGCGACATGGCTCTCCAGGATCTCAGACCGAGGTCCTTCACATCACTTCCTGCTTGATCCTCTTAACAGACGATGCCGGGGTTGGACCTTAGACCTTCCACATACCAAGCAGATGCGGTGCCTCTGAGCCATAGCCCCTCTCCAAACATGAAAAAGTTGCCACTTTTGACTTCTACCAGTTTCGTTTAGAGGAGAAATAATTGAAACCATTTGCTGGAGGTCTGAATGGCAGAAGGTTACTCAAGTGGTGCTAACGGCCCCAGACTCATGAATCAATCCAGCTCTTAATGAGCAGACGAAGATATTTTCTGCCGAAAATGACTGCTGTTTGTTCGTTTAACTGGTGTATTTGCATCCTAATGTAGCTTCCTGTTGACAAATGGGTGCTCCGCTATTTAAATAGCCGTGACAATCTTTTAGTTTAATGTGCACGTCTATCTTAAGAAAAGTATCCCTTATGAGAGAACATCCAAATGCATTTCCCGCTGTGCCTTATTCGCTGTAGTTTTATGTCTGTCCAAACTCTTGGGAAATTGGTATGCTCAGAATCAGTGAATTATAAGTAAAATATGTCTGGTTACTTAAGTAGGAATCAGAGAGCGACGAGGATGATCAGGGGTCTGGAGACTGAGCCCTACGAGGAAAGGCTAAGGGCCTTGGGGATGTTTAGTTTGGAGAAGAGGAGATTCATAGAATCATAGAATGTTAGAGTTGGAAGGGACCTTGCAGGTCATCTAGTCCAACCCCCTGCACTCTGCAGGAGCAGAGCCGAAAGATAGCTCTACAACATACCCGAAAGATGGTCCTCCAGCCTCCACTTGAAAACGTTCTCTCCCGATATTTAGCCGGTAATGACTCCCTTGTAATTTCCACCCATTAGATCTAGTCTTGCAATCCGGAGCAAGAGAGAACAGATCCGCTCCATCTTCTGCATGACAGCCCTTCAAATACTCGAAGACGGCAATCATGTCCCCTCTAAGTCTTCTCTTTCCCAGGTTAAACATGCCCTACCCTCTTTGAAGGGGGGCATGATTGCTCTCTTTAAATATTTGAAAGGCTGTCGTTTGGAGGAGGGCATGGGGCTGTTCCAGTGGGCAGCAGAGGAGAGGACCCGAAGCAACGGGTTTAAGTTGCATGCAGAAAGGGTATCGGCTGGATATGAGGAAAAACCTTTTCATGGTCAGAGTGGTTCAGAGGTGGAACCGGCTGCCTAGGGAGGTGGAGAGCTCCCCTTCACGGACAGCTTTCCAGAAGAGGCTGGACGAACATTTGTCAGAGATGCTTTAGGCTGGTCCTGCATTGGGCCAGGGGGGTTGGACTAGATGGTCTGTACGGCCCTTCCAAATCTATGATTCCGTGAACTGCTTTCACCTCGCAAGAATGGCTGTGTGGTCCTGTCCGCCGAATGATGAATCATACATACTTGAACACACACATGAAGCTGCCTCTGGTATATCCCTGGGAGAGCATGATGCTCCTCAGAGGACAATCTACTGGTGATCCCTGGCCCCAAGATATCCAGCTGTCCTTGACTAGCACCAGGGCTTTTTCGGTCCTGGCCCCGACCTGGTGGAACTCTCTACTGAACACCGCCAGGGCCCCGTGGGACTTAATGCAGTTCCACAGGTCCTGTAAGGCAGAGGTGTTCCGCCAGGCTTTCGGTTGAGGATGGCAACGGTTCTCCACCATGGCTGGCGCCCTCTTCTTTCTCTCTCCCTATCGCTTTACTTCAGCCCCCTCCGAGCCCTGCCCGCAAGACGGCAGCACAGTCCGGAGTGGGTTGATGAAGAAAGTTACAGACACCATCTGAAAGCATTAATTGATTGTTGTTTTTATTTATTTATTTATTTAATGTCTACCCCGCCGTGGCAGGCTCAGGGCGGCTTACGTAGAATAATAACAACATAAGAGACGCCCATGTTGGATCAGGCCCATGGCCCATCCAGTCCAACACTCTGTGTCACACAGTGGCCAGAAATACTAGGGGCCATCAGGAGGTCCAGGACACTAGAAGCCCTCCCACTGTTGACCCCCCCCCAAGAACCAAGAGTACAGAGTATCACCTGCCCCAGCCTGAGAGTTCCTGTCTATACCTTGTGGCTAATAGCCACCGATGGACTTCTGCTCCATATGCTTATCCAATTCCCTCCTGAAACCGTCCATGCTTGTGGCCGCCTCCAACTCCTGTGGCTGTGAATTCCATGAGTTAATCACTCTGTGGGTGAAGAAGGGCTTCCTTTTGTAATAAACAGCTGAAACAAATATAGATAAAATCATAAACAGTATAAATATAAAAACATTACAAGTGCTAGTACTAGACGATTCACATACGATTTATTTATTTTAACATTGTTTTTAACTTTGTTGTACATCGCCCAGAGCCCTGTGTATACAGGGATTGGGGAATTTATAAATCCAAAATATAAATAAAAATAAAATAAATACCGAATGATACCCTTGGTCCATCATGATCAGTATTGTCTATGTAGAGACTGGCAGCCGCTTTCCGGGATCACAGGCTGAGCTCTTTCACATCTCTTACTATCTGGTCCTTTTAAACGAGTTGCTGGGGATTGAACTTGGGACCTTCCACGTGCAAAGCAGAGGCTCTTCCACTGAGCCAAAGCCCTTTCTCTGGGTGTAGTGGTTAAGTGTGCGGACTCTAATCTGATTCCCCACTCCTCCACTTGCACCTGGCTGGATGACCTTGGGCAAGCCGTAGTTCTGATAAGAGCTGTCCTTGAAAAAGAGCAGTTTCTGTCAAGAGCTCCCTCAGCCCCACCTACTTCACAGGGTGTCTGTTGTGGGGAGGGGAAGGGAAAGGAGTTTGTAAGCCGCTCTGAAACACCTTTGGGTAGTGAAGGGCGGGGTATAAATCCAGTCTCCTCCTCCTCCACCTCCTCCTCCTCTTCTTCTTCCTCTTCCTCTTCTTCTTCCTCTTCCTCCTCCTCTTCTTCTTCTTCTGTAAAACTCTTCAGGCCCCTCTTTTTCACACTGCTGCTCTCCCCTCAAGGTTGGAGAGAACATTTTGAGAAATGCCAACTTCAACTTCTCTAAATCTCTGTCGGGTCTCTCTTATGGATAGGGTCGGACCTTGGGGGCTTGACTTGGGGGAGCTCTCTGCAGCAGAGCTTGGGAAACCCCACTGCGATTTAACGTGTCTTAAATAACGTGCGTTGGAATTTGCCGACAGATTGGACTTGCAAATACAGCAGCTGAAGCAGAAGATCTGCGAAGGCGACGGCGTCGAAAGGGGGCATCTCAGTGGCGGAGAAGAGAAGCCGTCTCTTAGCAGTTCGTCTCCTAATGCTACAAAAACACCGCCCCATTTTATTCCATTGGTCGACGATCGGTACGTGTCCCCATTTAACGTGTTCTCGTTCCTTCCCAAAAAAAAATGCTGACCCAGTTTTCCACATGAGTATTTTTTTTAAATGGACAGATTTCCGTCTCTGGCCCCCGCTCCTGCCAACCTAGCAGTTCAAAAACAAAAAATTGCAAGTAGATAAATAGGTACCACTTCGGTGGGAAGGTGACAGCGTTCCGTACGCCTCGGTGTTTAGTCATGCCGGCCACATGACCACGGAAATGTCTTCTGACAGCGCTGGCTCTTGGAAACGGAGATGAGCACCGCAACCCTAGAGTCGGATTTTACTGGCTTTTGAGCAAGGAAAACCTTTACCTTTACCTTAAAATGGCACAGTTCTCCCCCCCCTTCTTTTTTTTTGCTGCGAAGAGTCTGAAATATTTTCCAAATAAAACTTTTCCCCCGCTTAGAGTAGTTCCTGAGTTTTGAATTCTTAAAAGCAGGGCCTGAAGGGTTTTTAGGATTTTTTATTTCTATAGCGCCTGGAAATTTGACTTAATGCCATCAAGGAAGTATGAAGCATTAACCAATAGCATAGTCTCCCCCTCTTGCCGATTCCCTTGGGGTTGTTTCTTGAGAAACGTTATCTTTTTTTCTCTATTGCGTTTAACCACAATCCTGCTGTCTTTTAGAGGAAATATAGGACGACACTGATTATAAATAAGTAAATTATGTAGGCACGAGGGTTACATGCTGCATGCTCCTATTTATTTATTTAAAATATTAGTTGCCTTCAATGTGTCCTCTAAGCTGTGGAGTCTTGTGAGCAAAATCCTACTTTGTGAGCTACTGGCATTAAAGTTGTGAGCGAGCGACTTGGCTGCTGCATACATTAGTTTGCTCTGGAGCCGTCCTTCCTGAACTAAAACAAAATGTGTGAGCCGGGGGCTAGAAAATGGTGAGCTAACTCACACTAACTCAGCTTAGAGGGTACACTGGGGTTTTTTTTGAAATCCTGAGTTTTTTTGGTTCCATTATACCCTATGGGGACCATTATAATCAATGGTCCCCATAGGGTATGATGAGGAATCAATACGGGAGTATCTGGGGGTCGCAGGGAGCTGTTTTTTTAGGTAGAGGCACCAAATTTGCGGCTTGGCTATTGGTGTCTCTCCTCAAAAAAAACCTCCCAAGTTTCAAAAAGGTGGGCCCCCAAAGAAGGTGCCTCCATCCTTCATTGTTTTCAATGGAGGGGGGGAAGGGCGTTTAAAAAGATTGCAATCCCTTTAAATGCTTTTTGAAAGCTGCAATTGAACTCCGAAAGTGTTTAAAGGGCTCATGGTCCCTTTAAATGCCTTCTCATCGTCCCTTTAAATGCCTTCTCCAGCTGCCTTCTTCAAGCCTCCTGTTCACCCGGAAGGCATTTAAAGGGACTATGATCCTTTTAAATGCCTTTTATTTTTAGCTATCGTGTGGTTCTGAAAAATCCCAAAGTTTGGGGCGATTTTTGGAGCTTCACTATATCAGATAGCTTAAAAATACACAAATATATATTCGGCTGAAAGAGTAGCTGAAAAATACCGATAAGGTCTTTTTCGGCTATTTATTTGGCTCAGATACAGCCAAATGTGCATCCCGAGTAATATTGCTCTCTCTGATTTTTTTTTTGTATCTTCAATTTGATTTTTTTAAAGAATCAATGCCTTTATTGAAGAAGAAGTTCAGAGACGTCTTCAAAATGTTCACTATCCTTCTGCAGAGAACAATAACAGCCTCTTCCAGTCTATGGAATCTTTAAAGGCAAGTAAATATTTTAAATATTCAGGTCCTAGTTTGTGATAAAAAAAATTTTTTTAAAGAAATTATCTCCACTAAGTGGTATTTCCTTTACTTTCCTCCATGATTAGAATCATAGAATTTGGAAGGGACCTTGCAGGTCATCTAGTCCAACCCCCTGCACTCTGCAGGAGCGTAGCCAAAAGATAGCCCTGCAACAGACCCGAAAGATGGTCGTCCAGCCTCCGCTGGAAAACGTCCAGCAAAGGAGCATCCACCACCTCCCGAGGCAGACTGTTCCACTGCTCAACCACTCTGACAGTTAGGAAGTTTCTCCTGATATTTAGCTGGTATCGACTCCCTTGTAATTTCCACCCATTAGACCTAGTCTTGCAATCCGGAGCAAGAGAAAATAGATCTGCTCCATCTTCTACATGACAGCCCTTCAGATATTTGAAGACTGTAATCATGTCCCCTCTAAGCCTTCTCTTTCCCAGGCTGGGATTTGATGCCTGCATTTTTTAAAAAAAGAAATAAAACTTACTGTTTAATAAAACTTTACTTACTTTTTCACACTGGAATAAATCATTCCCCTTTTAAGAAACCAGTTCTAACTTCTGCTCTCTTTGTACATTCAGAAGCGCCTTAATCTTTCTATGCATATATGAGCAAGATGGCTTATTCCTGTTGATTTAGCCCTTCAAAAGTACTTTAGATTTAGGGTTAGCCGCACACACAGGCTAATCTGTAAAATAAAGAATAGTAATGCTGATAAATAATATTAATAGGTTGCTTAAATATATAGGGCACAATCCAACCTTCTCTAGGGAGCTTTAGAGGGTAGTTATGACTCAGTACTATACCAGCTGAAGAAGAAGAGTTGGTTTTTATACCCCGCTTCTTTCTACCCGAAGGAGTCTCAAAGCAGCTTCCAATCGCCTTCCCTTCCTCTCCCCACAACAGGCACTTTGTGAGGCAGGTGGGGCTGGGAGAGCTCTGAGAGAACTGAGACAGGCCCAAGGTCACCCACATGGAGGAGGAGTGGGGAATCAAACCCAGTTCTCCAGATTAGAGTTCATGGCTGGCTGTGTACCTGTAGCCACCACCACTTAACCCTGGCAGTAAATGCCACATGTTAATGACTCTTTGAGTCCAGTACCGCCTTAAAGACTAACAAAATTTGCGGCAGTTTAGAAGGTTTCGTGAGTCACTGCTCACTTCTTCAGATGCGGCTAGAATGTGAATCCATCTGTACTTATATCTTGGAGAGGGGAGTGATTTCAGGTGCATATCAAACCTAATCCGATCACGCCTGCTATTGTCATTTTCCAGCTATTGTTATTCAGCATCTGAAACCACACAAGATATGAGGACAGGTGGACTCCCATTCTAGCTGTAGCTGAAAAAGTGAGTGGTGACACAAGGAAGCTCATAGCCTGCCACAAATTTTGTTACTTACTTATTAGATTTCTATGCCTCCCTCCCCTGTGGGCAGGGCTCAGGGGGGGCTTACAACAGGGAGATACAAAAAGTATATGTTTTTTTAAAAAAAAATTAAAACCAACAAGAAAAACCACAGTCCTTAATAAAAGTTTTAGCAATTCCAAAATAGCTAACAATCAGAATTCCTGGTATGGAAAATTGCCGACCTCCACCTTTTAAGCCAGAGCTATTTCCGTTAAACTGTTTAACAGATGACTTAGAGAAGAACCATAGATACTTTATTTTACGTGTTATAACAGCAGCCAGAATTTCATTCACAATGACATGGAGAAGATTGAAGATATCCCAACGTTGTATGAGTTGATACTGAAGATTATGGAATGTGCTGAAATGGACAGATTGACAAATATATTGAAAGGAAAAATGGAAGAAGAATTTATGGGACCTTGGAGGGCACTTTATGACTGGTTAAAACTTAAGTACTGAATAAGAATGATAGATGTAATACTTGTGAAGTTCTAATGAGAAGACTCACATGCAGAATGTTAAATTGGTTCGATAGCGAGAGAGAGAGAGAGAGAGAGACTTCTGTATCTTTCCTTTTCCCCTTCTTTCCCCTTTCCCTTCCTCCATGCATAGACAAATACAATTCTTTTAAAAAAAGAAAAGAAAATTGCCGACCTCCCGGTAAAAAGGTAAAGGTTCCCTTGCTCGAAAGCCAGTCGAATCCGACTCTAGGGTTGCGGTGCTCATCTCCATTTCAAAGCCGAAGAGCCAGCGCCGTCCAAAGACGTTTCCGCGGTCATGTGGCCGGCATGACTAAACACCAAGGCGCACGGAACGCTGTTCCCTTCCCACCGAAGTGGTCCCTATTTATCTACTTGCAATTTCTTGCTTTCGAACTGCTAGGTTGGCAGGAGCTGGAACTAGAGACGGGAGCTCACTCCGTCACGCGGCACACTCGGGTCTCGAACTGCTGAACTACCGAAGCTCACTCCGTCATGCGGCACACCCGGGTCTCAAACGGCTGAGCTACCGACCTTCCACAGCCTGCAGTTCAGCGTCTTAACCGCTTGAGCCAATTATAAAAGATAGGATGGGGGAAACATAGGGGGTATGAGAGTGCCAGATCACAGAGTTATACCATCGCTGTCCTCCACTGAAAGCCTGGTGAAACATCTCTGCCTTACCAGCCCTGCGGAAAGGTAACAAATCCTGCAGGGTTCAGATGTTCTCAGGTAGAGCGTTCCACCAGGCAGGGGCCAGGCCCAAAAAGGTTGAGGACAGCCAGGTCTCTCTCGGGCCAGGGACAACCAGGAGGTTCTTACTTCCTGAGCATAATGCTCTTCTCAGGGCATATTTTATTCTTTAAGATACTGCTGGACTCTTGCTCTCTTCTACTGCCAAGACTGTAGACACGGGGGGATGGGGGGGAATGCTGATCTTCTGCAAATGCCTGGATCAGATTTCGGAATCCAGATGATCATTTCAGAAGATTCGCCGTATTGGTCTGCAGTAGAACAGATGGATTTGGGTCCAGTGGCACCTTAGAGAGCAACAAGAGTCAGAGTTGCCTCCCTCAGATACAGTCGGGGCTATTTTGGGGCAGGAACGCACAGGAACGGAGTTCTGGCTGGCTCCTGAGTTGGCCACGCCCAGCAGGAACTCATTAGCATGCTAGGCCACACCCCCCAGCAGAAACAGAAACTCATCAGGATTGGCTACATTAGGGGTGTGTGGCCTAACATGCAAAGGAGTTCCTGCTACAAAAAAAAGGCCCTGGGTTTTGACAACAAACAGGGTAAACAGAATAAGAAGCAAAAGGTGGGTGTGGCTGGATGACCACACTTCTGGTGACGTGGGTGTGGCCTAATGTGCTAATGAGTGGTGCTGTCAGGGGTGTGGCCCAATATGCTAATGAGTTTCTGCTATTGGGTGTGGCCTATTATGCTAATGAGTTCCCGCTGTGCTTTTTCTACCAAAAAAGACCTGGATCATACAGTTATCTGAGGAAGGGAACTTTGGCGCTCAAAAGATTACACCCTGAAAATGTCGTTGGTCACGAAGACGCTACTAGACTAGAATCCAGAAGTCCGCAGCTGTAACTTCAGAGGAGTGATCCAGGCACTGAGAGAACCGTCTGTTCAGTGCCCAGATCAGAAATTTGTTGAGGCGCCTAGATCATTTCTGAGGTGAAGAACCATCTCTGTGTCTTGAGACTCGAACTTGATTTTTCTGCTCATTGGAAGTCACTTGGGGTGGAGATTCTTTTATTGGATGTCGGGGGGGGGGAATCCCCCCCGCCACATCCAACTATTTGAATTTGAACCAATTTAGTGCCAGTTGGGACGATAATTGGCTCCATTTCCAGTATCCCGGCTGGATTAGACTACTTGTTGTCACAGATGGCTCTGTTCTATTCCCCCCCCCCCTTCCCTTTCAGAATAAGACCTTATGAACTGTGTCTTGTCTTTGCTTTCCAGGATAACGAGAAGTTTCAGAACGGTGCCGTTCAGCGCAAGCTGAAGTATGAGGTAAGTTATAGCCTGTCAGCTCGAAGAACGGCTAATTTTAAATCATGGCATGCTCTTTAATGAATTTTTTTCTTTTTTAAGTTTCTGCAGCGTAATTAGAATTCTGTATTCCAGCAAGATTAATGGTGAGCGGGAAAAAGGATTGAAATTAAAGTTTCTGCTCTGGGAAAGCTTTGGGGTTTAGATGAGTTGACTGGTGGCGATGGTGCTAATCGTTCATTTAATGGCTTTTTGCCTCAACAGTATCCCTTTCAAAGATCAGTAAAGTAGACACAATATGTCTATGAGTAAGTACTTCATTCTCATCCTTCTACATAGAAATGTGTCCAAATTTCAGTTGTCAGAGAAGATACGCTCTTCTATCGGTATAGTGTAAAACCAATCAGCTTGGATGAATTAAGTTCAAATCTTTCAGCATTTAGGACAAAGGTATAGTATGCAAACTGTTGCACGTCTTCAGTTGTCTGTTTTTTGACAGATTCATTTGCGTCGTTCTGTTCCCAAGAGGAAATAAAAAGATTCATTTTTTTTATAACCCGCCTTTCTCCACAATGGGGACCCAAAGGGCTCACATCATTTTCCTCTTCTCTGTTTTATCTTCACAACAATTTGGTGAGGTAGGCTAGGCCAAGAGCATGTGACTGGCCCAAGGTCACCCAGCGAGCTTCCATGGCACAATGGGGATTCGAACCTGGGTTTCCCGGATCCTAGTCTGACACATCAACTACTGCATCTAGCTGGCTGGTTTCTTCTGGTGAAAAAGGAGCCTCCTTTGACTGCCAAAAAAACTCCGGGGACCAGGGGCCCTCCATAAGAACATAAGAGAAGCCAATGTTGGATCTGGCCAATGGCCCATCCAGTCCAACACTCTGTGTCACAGAGTGGCCAAAAATACCAGGTGCCATCAGGAGGTCCAGCAGTGGGGTCAGGACACTAGAAGCCCTCCCATTATTGCCCCCCCAAGCACCAAGAATATAGAGCATCCCTTGCCCCCAGACTGAGAGTTTCTATCTATACCTTGTGGCTAATAGCCACTGATGGACCTCTGCTCCAGATGTTTCTCCAATTCCCTCTTGAAGCCGTCCATGCTGGTAGCCGCCGCCACCTCCTGTGGCAGTGAGTTCCATGTGTGAATCACTCATTGGATGAAGAAGGACTTCCTTTGATCTGTATCACTGAGAAGGGGAAGTGGTTAAGACTGTGTGGAAAAGATAGTGGGATCTAGCCCCATGTTTAAATAAAAAACTTTTTTCTGTGAGTTCTGATTATCATTTTTTAAAAGTTTGCTTTGAGGAAAGAATTGGGTTAGAGGAGTCAGTCTCCATTTGGACGAACAGCAGGAGTATTTTTTTTTTCCACCATTGACTTAGGAATGTAAATTAATCCTCCAGAACTTAATCAAGTGAAATGGATACTGTTCTAAAGGCAATTTGATGGCCGACGAAAATTATGGCTTCTCTTCTCTTCTCGAATCAGAACTGATCTCATTAAATCGAATTTGTTTTCACTGCTTTTTAATTCAGCGTCGCGCAGCACAACTTAAATCAATGCCTAAAGATTGAATCAGAAAGGGGTTTTTGGGGGGTTTTTGGTAAGCAAACAAAGGCACCTTGTAACTTTTTTACATTTTAAACAGAAAAGACAGCTTTGGTTGCCTCTTTATGGCTTTCGCGCTCTATCTAATGAGGACATCCAATGCTGTAACCTGATTGGCGAAGATACAAGAATAGCAGGCTTCAATGAGCAGGACAAAAGCCCGGGCACATTCAATCCTAATTGGGGAAGAATCCTCCCGTTCTGTATGGCTCAAGGAGATTCGTATAAAAGGAGGCAATTAGGATGGGAATACATTGGCTGGCTGCGCAGGAATGAATGTGACTTGACTCAACCCGGAACGGTTAACAGGAAGAAAAGTTGTTCAAAGCGTTTCACAGAATCTCCTCTTCAGATTCGGGACGGAGGTGGAACGATTCACTCGTCAGAGGGGCAGCTGGTAGTCCCTCATTCTGGAGGCCCAAGCCCACAAGTTTCTCCCTGGAAAACCAAGAGCTCGATAACGAAATCCGATTCCTTCCATGTCCACAATATGCCTGCCTCGGAACCGTCCGCCTCTGTGAAATATCAGGGTGGCTTTTGGTTTTTTCTCTCTCGTGGAGAACAGAGCGACCCAATTGCCCAAGCCTGTGCGGAAGCATCCAGCCAGTGTGAAAGCGTCGCGGGCGCCCCCCAAAGCCACCCCCCAGTGTCCGATATGCGGACGCAGCCCACTTACGACCTGGGCCATCTATTCAGCAAATTTGCCAGTGTTTACCGAGATACCAGCTCCCGAATTAAAGGCGGCCGGGTCTTCAGACACCTCCAAGATCTCGCCGGCTTCTGTGACAAAAACGAGACGTGTACTCAAGCGGTGTCATTAATTAAAAGCTTCCCGTTTCTGAAGAAAATGCAGCTAAATATGTTTGTGGGCGGGAGGGGGAGCAGCTCTCCTTCGATGGATGAGTTGGCTACCGATGGGTCAAACGATAGCCCAGGATGTCTCGTGCGGCATGAAGACACCATAGAATTCATGTATTCAGAAGCTGCGGTCGATGCGTGTGGAACAGTACACTCCGAACCATCGAGTCTCTATGGCAAACATGAAGACGGCAAAGCTAGCCTTGTGCCGAAGCGGAATTTTATGTACTTTTCGGACAGGTTTCTGCAATTGCAGCTGCGTCCTCTGGATGAATTACTGCACTATGTCAGCTGTGTCTTGCCCGAAATGTATGTCAAGCCTGAAGAGTTAAGAGGCGTATATTGGATCGCTGTGGGAAACTGTGAAAACCCTGTGCCCAAGGCGGCCTGTTTGTTCTTACTTTGTTCGGCTGTCTACGCCATTGTTCCGTCAGCCAGCCCCCTGAAGAGCGGTCAAGACTCTCTGGAAATATTTCTCATTTTCCCCGTCACCGCATTAAGAGAACTCCAAATAGGGTACGGTGGGCAGAGCGTTCGCCTTTTGAGTTCTAGTGAAGATAATGCAATGACAATATTTACCTTCGACCGGTCTTTCACACAAAGGCTATGCCTGGACATACTCAGCACTGTGGTTTCGTTCTCAGATTACGCTTGCTTAGATCACAAGCTCCTCAAAGGAGATCTGTTGCAACTTTCCCTGGACTGGACTTCAAAAGTCTCTGACTTAGTTTTGGACAATGGTGTCCGGCTGACATGTAATTTCGAGGGCCGTCTAGCCGATCTAGTTTACTTGCTCCATGAAAATATGGGAACCGGCAAACCCCCTTTAGGAGATGTTCAGGTAGTGCTCTATACGACTGTGAAACTAGAGGGCAAATTCCGATCACTCGTCCTTACTAATACTCACATAGGCCTTGTAGAAGATGATAGTATGTTCTACCCAACTAGATCTTTGCTTTGTGCACCTGAGCATTTCAGCAGAATCCAGCTGCATGGTTTGAGTGAACTCCGGTGTCTGGTTATCCCTGAGAAAACGAATCCAACGGAAATCGAGCTTGTCTTTTCAAACACCGTTAAGGAAAGCTGTGATTCAGACAGCAGTTTGTCTTGTGCTTTTCAAAATACTAAACCAAGCTCTGTCATATCCTTCAGTCATGCCACCCCAAATGCCCCGTCCTGTATCTGGAAACTGACTTTCAGTTCGGATGAAGATGCCTTTAGGTTAATGGTGCATTTGATGGGTCGGTAAACCAAGGTGTTCTTTAGATTTCAACCACGGAATAGCTAGTCTGAGGACGTAATCTTGCACTCCAACAGGGGGGGGGGGAATCATGTAAACAAACCAAATCAGTGTGTGTATTTCTAAAAACATCTCTAGGTTGTGGTGTTTCCTAGAACTTTAGGAGCGAGATTGCACGCAAGGGAAGATAGATATGCAAAAAAAGCTACCTCCTGGTTGTTTCACCATATCCAAAATGCGGTGGGGGTCAAGTCGTGGCCGATTTATGGCGACCCAGTAGGGTTTTCAAGGCAAGAGATGAACACAGGTGGTTTGCGCCTGCCTCTGCCTAGCAACCCTGGACTTCCTTGGTGGTCTCCCATCCAAATACTAACCAGTTGGATAGCCCACATTAGCCCAATCCTGTCAGATCTTGGAAGTTTAACAATGTCAGCCTTGGGTAGTATTTGGAAGGGCAACCTCCAATGAATACCAGGGTTGTGATGCAAAGGCAGGCAATGGCAAACCACCTCTGAAATGTCTGTTGCCCAAAAAAACAAGTCTAGGTCGCCATCTAGCGGTGCATAACGCTAAAGGAGCTAGAACCTTTGGCTGCCAGACAATCTTTGGATCTCCTGGCTATCCCACACACAATGCCATACAATTAAAAAAGAAAACAAAAACTAGCCAAGGATGACCTGACTTAGTCTGATGAGATCGGGCTAGGGTGGTCCTTCCGGGTCGGGGATCGAAAACGTACTTAAGAGTTATTCCCACTAAGCATCATTTTCAAACTTTGTCCATTTTCAAGGGGGAAGGGCAGGGAGTCAGAGCCTCATAATCTCAAAACATTGAGTAGCCCTCTCAGGCATGCAGCTGCTTTGGAGCATAAGAGTGTGGGAACCGAGTCCTTCTTCACCCAAAGAGTGATGAACACATGGAATTCACTGCCACAGGAAGTGGTGGTGGCTACAGGCATGGACGGCTTCAAAAGGGAATTAGATAAGCATCTGGAGCAGAGGTCCATCAGTGGCTATTAGCCACAAGGTATAGATAGGGACTCTGGGGCAAGTGATGCTCTGTCATCTTGGTGCTTGGGGGGGGGGTCAACAGTGGGAGGGCTTCTAATGTCCTGGCCCCACTGCTGGACCTCCTGATGGCACTGGTATTTCTGGCCCCTGTGTGATACAGAGTGTTGGACTGGATGGGCCGTTGGCCTGATCCAACATTGGCGTCTCTTATGTTCTTATGTTACACTTTGTGTGTGGCGTGTGCTTTCATGCATGCAGGGCCGGCGTCAGCATAGCCTGAGATGAGGCGGCAGCCG